ACTGGACAGAGGTCGAAACTGAAAAACAGAGAAAACGAATCTGCCCAAAAACGACCGGTCGCTTTTACCTGACGACCGGTCGCTTTTCAAGTCAAATTTTGAGTTTCGAATCTGCCCAAAAACGACCGGTCGCTTTTACCTGACGACCGGTCGCTTTTCAAGTCAAATTTTGAGTTTCGAATCTGCCCAAAAACGACCGGTCGCTTTTACCTGACGACCGGTCGCTTTTCAAGTCAAATTTTGAGTTTCGAATCTGCCCAAAAACGACCGGTCGCTTTTACCTGACGACCGGTCGCTTTTCAAGTCAAATTTTGAGTTTCGAATCTGCCCAAAAACGACCGGTCGCTTTTACCTGACGACCGGTCGCTTTTCAAGTCAAATTTTGAGTTTCGAATCTGCCCAAAAACGACCGGTCGCTTTTACCTGACGACCGGTCGCTTTTCAAGTCAAATTTTGAGTTTCGAATCTGCCCAAAAACGACCGGTCGCTTTTACCTGACGACCGGTCGCTTTTCAAGTCAAATTTTGAGTTTCGAATCTGCCCAAAAACGACCGGTCGCTTTTACCTGACGACCGGTCGCTTTTCAAGTCAAATTTTGAGTTTCGAATCTGCCCAAAAACGACCGGTCGCTTTTACCTGACGACCGGTCGCTTTTCACGTCAAAATTTGAGTTTCAACTCTGCCCAAAAACGACCGGTCGCTTTAGCACTGTTCATAGGTGATAAAAGGGTGATAGAAAATGATGTTTGTGTTTTTGTTTAGTTTTCTTGTGTTGTTTCATTTCTTTTACACTTCTTTACTCATTTTTAGTTTCCATTTTGCATTTGTGCATTTGTGGTGTGTCAATTAAATGTTCTTTACGTACTCAAATTAGAACTTATAGGGAGCCGACAAGTTCTTCGTGGGATCGACCCCGTACTTACATAATCTATACTTCATTAGATTCGTGCACTTGCGGGTATTTTTAATTGGTTGTTTGCACATTAATTTGTGTCCTTTTAGGAATGCAACACTGTACCGGGTAGATGCTATCCGAATAAGCATCCAACCAGGTATTCCGAGTATAATACCGAGAAGCCTTCGAGTATACATTTACTTTCAAGAAGCGGCAAACTGCAACTACATGCTTGCAAGGTAGCTGCTCAAGCTGAAACTTTCTACAACTATAACTGTTGTTCGTCAAATCCACAAGGTCGTCCATATCACCATCCAAAACATTAAACTGTAAGTTATTTAGTTTAACGACATTCATCCTTGCAGCATCCTCTAACCTATTCCTCAACTTCTTCTCGCCAAAATTGGGGCATAATGTTGTTGTGCAATTCATAGCCAACTCAAGACGTTTGGTGAACCATTTCACTAGGAGATTAATAATTTCCCCTATCAAATGAATCACTGGCAGCATCCTTGCAAACCTAAGGACTGAGTTTATTGACTCCGCAAAATTTGTTGTCATTATATTGTAGCGGCTGTTGCATTCCTAAGAGGACAAAAATTAATGTGCAAACAACCAATTAAAAATACCCGCAAGTGCACGAATCTATTGAAGTATAGATTATGTAAGTACGGGGTCGATCCCACGAAGAACTTGTCGGCTTCCTATAAGTTCTAATTTGTGTACGTAAAGAACATTTAATTGACACACCACAAATGCACAAATGCAAAATGGAAACTAAAAATGAGTAAAGAAGTGTAAAAGAAATGAAACAACACAAGAAAACTAAACAAAAACACAAACATCATTTTCTATCACCCTTTTATCACCTATGAACAGTGCTAAAGCGACCGGTCGTTTTTGGGCAGAGTTGAAACTCAAATTTTGACGTGAAAAGCGACCGGTCGTTTTTGGGCAGATTCGTTTTCTCTGTTTTTCAGTTTCGACCTCTGTGTCGTCAGGTAAAAGCGACCGGTCGTTTTTGCACAGAG